GAGACTTTTACTGGATTTAAACTGTCGATTAGAAAAGTTTGACTCTGAACTTAAGACATTTTTCAACTGACTGAAGAAAACACCCTGAAAAATACATGACTTAACAAAGCTTTTCATTTTCCATAATTCATGCCATAGCTATATTTTTGGTTGTTTTTTTTTAAAGAAGACAACACGGTTTCTTGCCAAGACAATCCTTTGCACAACTGCAAATATGTTTGCACCACTGCAAATATCTTTGCACCAGTATGTATGCAACTATCCAGCACTGCTTCAGGCAAACATCTGTAACTTCACGTCAGAGCTAGAGAACCCTTTCTGTTCTACAACAGCCACTACTGCAGACATATGTTAAAATAGCCCAAATATTTTCTGCACTTCATCAAACTTCTCTGTCAAAGTAACACAGCAAATCTATGAACTATATTGAACCATCCTGTGCCAACAACTACAGAAAACACAAGGAGAAAAAACATCCCTCCAACAAGGAATGCAGGGGCACTAAAGCCCTTCTCAATGGGTAACAATTTATGCTTTACAATACATCTAGATCCCTCAAAGAAAAAAATATAAAACCAAAACTGCAGTGTGGCAAGGACAAAAGGCTCAAGATCTTCTAAATACCTTTAAGCAATCTGATCCTAGTGATTTACCAGCTGCCATTTTCAAAATCAGCTGAAAGTTAGACCTGGTTAGTCTGGTTCAAATATTGCAGTGGCCAACACATTCACTTGCAACCATATTTTGAAAATGGGACTTGGTCATGGAGTGTTCTGCCTCTGCCAACAGCGAGCACATGCACACACTGACAAGCAGACAAGAAGGTAGGTGACACCACTACTGCTTTGTCCTGAGCGGGAAGCCAAGCACTGTGGGGTGAACTGAAGCCTGCTTTCTTCTTGAGCTTCAGAGGAATATTGCAGGACACCAGCCCCCTTTGCACTGCTGGAGCGAGTGGCAGGCGAAAAGTTCTTTGGGTGGCCCAGCCATCTGCCCCAAAGGCTGCCAGTAAGGGGAAATCCAGGGAACATCAAAGTGTCATAGAGAGCCTACACTGCCACCACCACCTTCTCCCCCCCACGCCTCCCTTGCTTCAGACTGCACTGTGACTTTTTTTCCCCAGACACTATGGCTACTTGAAACTTTCCATTTCTGCCTACCTATTTCTGTCAGGGTGCTGGTGAGCCCCCCTTTCCTATTGTCTGCAGAAAAAGCCTAGGATACCTCTAAGTTCATATATAAAACTCAAACACTTCACTTACTAGCATCAGGAGCACAGTGATAGAATCACAGATCGGATTTGAATAAAAGGTTCAAGACACAGAGGAAGGCGTTATATAAAATTAAGAAGCCTGTACTTTAGTTCATTGCAGCATTACAACGCAGAGAAGACGTTACAATTTTTTTAAGACACTGAATTTTCATCTATTACAGTTAGCAATGACTTGCATTAGGAGGGTAGGGTCATGCCATGGCATAGAGAAGACAAGGCAGAACAGGGACTGGATGGGCCCTGCCAGAACCAAACACCATTCTTCCCCAGAATGGGCGGGGGGGAAGAAAAAAACATCACCACATGTCCAGACACTGCTTCCTCATATGGCAGCTCATTTCACACCTAGTCACTAAGGATGTTCTTCCATCAGCATCTGAACATCCTACAACCTCCACATAGATCTAAGATTATAAATTTACTTGGGATATTTGTGTTAATCCCATCCAGTATTGTTTGTGTCCGTAGCGCATGCCATAATGCTCCTCATGCATTTCTCAGCTGCGACTGCAATCAAGAGGCTGATCTTCCCTCTAAAGCTGCAATGTATATTGGTTTTTAACTCCTCTGCACACAAACGTCTTTGCTTCGGTCTTGCAATGGCTTCAGGCTGGCTCACTGCTCCATCTGCTGTGAGATTCAAAGCATACACTTCTTGCCCTAGGCTGCAAGATAGTACTTCATACAATTGAAACATCAGTTGTCACATCATGCAATTTAAAGGGGATGGCAGTATAGTCTTCTGATATCCCAGGAAAAAGTATGTCCCTAAAGCATGCAGTGCAAATAGCAAAGCAGAGCATGAATCTGGGTGTATGAGTGAGGGCTGTGTTACATTAGCCAGAAGAATAAGGAAAGATCAAAGCCAGTTACCCACAACTAGCTACTGAAGCATCAGTGAAGAAATACAGCACAGCAGAGGATGCAATTACAAATATGACAGAAGTAATGACAATTCCAGCTTCACTGCAGGTTGGTATTGTTCAACTGGCATGTGGTATGCCAGAAATGCAACAACTTGCATCGTATAGATAAAGGGCAATTCTACAATGCCTCAAGTAAGAGCCCTAAGTCACTTAGGTTAGGAATACACACCAACAAAAGTCTAAACATCTTCAGAGGTCTGGATTTAACTGACCTGGCTAAAGTTAAGTCTGTAGCAGTATCAGGAAAATCATCTGTATCCCTCAACTCCTGATTGTGCTGCGGTTGAACATTAGACTCAGTTTCTTCTCACAAAAGCAAAAGACATTCCAATGTTTTGTGGTTTCCTTTTTTAAGATGAAGAACATTTTTTATCTATTATCTTATGAAGCATCTGTTCAGACTTAACTGAATTCTTGAATATTTGTTTTGCTCCCTTGTTTCAAGTTTTGTTCCAGAGATTATTCAAATGAGCAGTCACATTTGTTAAAATGACCGGTAACTGTCCAATTCTGGCACTGACAAATTACCTGTTTCTTTTTGGTAAGCATGTAACTCATTTGCTTGCTATTGCATTCATTAATTAAAAAGTAAAACAGTAGGATCAATTCTGAAACATACTTCTTTCCACACTGAACAAGAAGTTCAGAATAATTTCATCTAGATTATTCTACAAACCCCTTTCAAAAGTGCTTGGTATGAGAGTCTGTGAATGGACTCCTGGCTCTGGATGAAATCCAGGGAAAATCTACTTTGCTACTCTTATTTATTTCCAAGGTTAGAAAGGCACTCTGTTCTCCTCCATCCTTAAGAAGAGACAGTTATAGCTTTTCAACAATCCTCATAATGCATCCAATTAAAGTGACCAAAGACTCGTGCAGCTCTTATCATGCCTTTTTTAAGCAATACTTAACTGAAAGTACTGTGTGCAGAGGAGCCCTATGATGGGCTATCTAATCTTAGCCCTACGCAAGCTCAGAGTGCCACAGAGGTACGGTGCCATGACATGAAAGCCTCAAGAGAAACAGGCTAAGGGGGAGGTGGGGACAGTTAAAAACACTTAGCAATTTTAATATCAGTGTAATTAGATACAATTAGGTGACTTAAAAGTATTAACTCTGCCTTATTCATTAGACAGTAGCTTCTAAGAAGAACATGTCTTAATGCCTTTGGCTTTCATTGAGATTTACACAGAAAAATCTACAACACATTCCTTTGCTATCTTCTTTTCCTTTTATACATTATTACGCATTTAAAAAAAAAAAATCAACACAAAATTCTGAAGTTTGGTTTGTAAAAAAAGGTTCACAAAGGTTGTTTAAATAGCAAGTCCACTTCAGAATAACCCAGGAGATTCAATGCAAAAAGAGGATGAGAACCAGGGATGAGTCACACACAGGTAACAGGTTCATACTGACGAACGTGCAGGTAGTGAACCTGTAGGGTTTTTTTAAAAAACATTTCAATTGATTGTTTACTCCAAACTCCAACATGAAGTCAAGTATTGACTATGTCGCTTGTCAGAAACAAACAGTTTAAGAATAAACTTGAATCCTGGCTTAGTTAAAAAAGTTCAAGTATATTCTGAGCAGTCTTCAGTTCTTCACCTCGGGCTACGCTCTTTTCATGTGTTGATCAACAGTCATTAAGTGTAACAATAATTGTCATTTTACAGTTTCGAGTTCTTTATAAAAAGAACGTTTTCAGGATCCTTTACAAAAATTTTTCCTTGTTCTTCACTTCTGCAGATGATACAGTAACAGCAGGGAGGTACTTGTGGCTCCACTTTTAATATCCTCTTCCTATTTTAAGAAGGAAGAAAAATACACCAAAAAAATCACATCTTAGATGCATTTAAAGCAAATAAAGTATATACATAACACTAAATGACTTGATAAAATAATTTAGCATCATTATCTGTTCTCACAGTCCTTTTTAAATGCAAAAAACTAACATGTTCTTACACAAGCATCAAAAACGCAGAATACTGTGCTTTGCTTTAAGCTAGCTACTGTGATGCACAGAAACTTTTTGCATAAAACTATAAGCATCTATAAAAGATTAAAAAATACAACATTCTGTTTAATATTGAAAAGCTTTAGAAATCGGGAGTCATTCTTATAACTGAAATGTAAAAACCACACACTCACCCCGAAAGCCTCCTCCACCACCTCTTCCTCCTCTGAATCCTCCTCCTCCACCACCTCTTCCTCCTCTGAATCCTCCTCCTCTTCCTCCACCTCTTCCTCCTCCAAATCCTCCTGAGCATAGGAAAGAAATTACACTTTAAGGAGCATAAAAATTCTTTGTCACGCATAACAACTTATTTCATTAACAGCTTCTGAAAGGAAAACAACAACAACAAAAAAAACCAGAAACTGCCAATGGCTGGAGAGTTACCAGGTCAATTATTAGTATCTTGTCTCTTATAGGGACCATTTGCACATTTTAGGTATTGTTTAACAGCTAATATAAACATCCAAAATACTAAAGACACCAACAAAACTCCACAATAGCTTTCTTTCATGAGAGCAAAAGATTAATTAATGACTATTAATGAATAATTTATTATTATTAATAATAATAAATAATTAATAATGAATTACAACATAACAGAACATTAAAACAAACAAACCAGGAAGCTTTGAAACACTTATGCCTCACTGCCCACAATGGGGCAGGGTAGGGAGAAGAGGTAAGAAACTCCAATGTAAGAAAAAAATTAACCTCAGCTTTAATTGAGTACATCATAGAATCCTTTACGTTGGAAAAGACCTTCAAGATCATCGATTCCAACCGCTAACCTAGCACTGCCAAGTCCACCACCAAACCATGTCCCTCAGCACCACATCTACACTTCTTTTACATACCTCCAGGGATGGCGACAACCACTTCCCTGGGCAGCCTGTTCCAATGCTTGACAACCCTTTTGGCGAAGAAATTTTTCCTAACGTTCAATGTAAACCTCCTCTGGCACAACTTGAAGCCATTTCCTCTTGTCCTACCGCTTGTTACTTGGGAGAAGACACCTCACTACAACCTCTTTTCAGCTACAGTGATAAGGTCTCCCCTCAGTCTCCTTTTCTCCAGGCTGATGTTTAAAAAGCAAAGGAAGAGATCTACTAGGTCATTTGCCCCCCTCTCAAACACTGCATTTCAAGTATTCTGTCCAAACTAGATTTTTGGAACATACTACAAATAAAGCTTTCACTGACAGTTTTTAGTGTGTTTTATCTACAACCTTTTACCACAAGTTTGCTTAGCAGTCATGCTTTCTGTCTTTGTTATAAATCAGCGTACTCTCCTCCCTATGCTTTGGGGCTGTTATTTAGCTAGCTACAGAAGCCTAGATTTTGCCATTGGAAGGACATCACTGTCTCTTCCATTAAGTCATTATCCTGGTTTCAGCTGGAATAGAGTTAATTTTCTCTCTAGTAGCTGGTATGTTTTGGATTTAGTATGAGAATAATGTTGATAGCACATATTAGTTTAGTTGTTGCTAAGTAATGTTCACATTAGTCAACAACTTTTTCGGCTTCCCATAGAAGCTGAGAGGGAGCACAGACAGGACAAGTTGGCCAAAGGAGTATTCCAGACCATAGACATCATGCTCAGTATATATAAAGAGGGGTTGGCCAGGAGGCAGGAATCCATGATCACTGCTTGGGACGGGCTGGGCAATCGATGATGGAGGAGTGAGAGTGGCTTGTGTTGTATCACTTTATTGTATTTGTTGTATATTCCTTTACCATCATCATCATTACTATTATTATTATTATTTTCCTCTTCCTTTAATGTTCTATTAAACTGTCTGTATCTCAACCCATGAGTCTTTTTTTCCCCCTATCCTTTTCTCCCTGTTCTCCCAGCTCTACTAGGGGGTGGGGGGCGGCGAGCAAGTGGCCATGTTGCTGGCTGGGGTTAAACCACGACAGTCAAACAGAAATATGCGTAACATTTTTCTTTGCAATACAACTGTTGATATTCAAGTACTCAACTTCAGCATTACCAAAAAAACCCACAAACAACCCACTCCCTCAAAAAAAAAAAAAGAAACCAAACCAAAAAAAAACAAACAACCCACTCCATACCAAAATACCCCAACATTCTGCAGCTTTCATTCTAGGGATCTTACCTCTACCACCACCCCTTCCTGCTCCACGTCCACCACCACGTCCTCCTCTACCAGCTCCTCTGGGAGCACCTTTTTCTCCAGGAGGCCTTGGCAAAAATCTCTGAAGGGGTAGCAGCTTTGCTGGATCAATGTAAAACTGTAGGAAGAGAGTTCCATTAGGCTTTGAAAATACTAAGGCTAAAGAGCACATTAATATCTCCCTTTACAAATACCCACAATTTGGTCTTAACCCTTTATATCAAATTGTCCTCGGCAAATAGCCAAATAAAGAAAGCACGCAAGACATAAATAGGAGTGTTACAAAGTTATGAAAATACAGATGATATTTGCAGGAGTTTCATTTGTTACATCTTTTTTTTGTGAGGCAGGGAGAAGGAAGAATGTGACAGATATAAAAGTGAAAAGGAAGAGGAAATGAATGCTTATGTTTACAAAGGACAACTAACTTTTAAAGTTAATAAAAAGTTAATAAAGCTTTCATTATCTGATAAGAGTAAATTTATCTGACGACATACAGTAGAATTCTGTTATTGAGATTGACTAACCTTTTGCATTTTTTTAAATGAAGAGGCTTTCATGTTCTCAGACAATTTCACTGAAAAATACTGTTCATTTCTTTAAAGAATACAGCA